ATGTGCCCAGTGAAAGTGTCCATTACAGGCCTACAGAAGGTCAGTTGTTAGCCCGAATATCTCACTAATAGCACCTCTGACTGTAACGATGGTTGATCGGGGTACCTTCAAGATTGCAGATACATCATATTCACGAGTGCTGATGAGCTCAAAACCTAGGTCGAAAGCTTTCTGCCAACTGCTCCCAACCATCTAACTTCAACTGAGAGTGTACGATGATGGCAACTCACTTAGTATGGGGGCCTAATCGTAAACTTGACTGATAGAATTCATTCTGTACCAAATAAGAGACTAAATGCATGAAACTAGTTACTGCCCAGTGTCCAATCCATACTGTTTTAAGCTGACTTCATCTAGTGTCGGGTTTTTGGAGATGTTGGTTGCATAGTTGTTTCGTCCTAGTAGCAAATCTTCAGTAATACCCGCTCAGAGCACCTCCAGGGACCGAATACATCTTTCTTCATGGTTTGGAAAAGGCCAAGTAAAATCTATAAGATGTTCTATTTTGTCCCATTTGATTGATGATAATGGTTACCAAGTGGACAGAAGAAATGCCTCCGAAGTTACCTGTCACATTCCGTCGAACCTTTCGGAAGGAATCGGAATCCGCCTTTTACACACATAGCCTAGGCTGTGGGAATTCGAGAGAAGCTTGTACTACCTTCATCTCTCCCTTGACCTAGGTAAATTCTGATTAAAACATTCCCACCCTTTCTTATTTTCTATTTCATTCGCGCCTTTAGGATATTTATTTAAACTCTAATTATCCATCCACTTTACCTTTAGTATTACGTAACCTTAAAGGTTTGACCTAATTTATTGATTGAATTGACTATATATACTACCTTCGTTATTTTTATCGCCACCAGCATAAACCTTATTGTCATTATTTTTGTAATCATCCCTATTACTGACATTCAAAACATTATTATTATTACTAGTTGGTGGTCGTGCTAAATCTTGAATTGGTAGAAGTTGGAATTCATGGACCATTGGATTGGGTCCCAGTGGCTGAATGGTATACGACCTCGCCTTGTAACATGAAGGTCCTGAGTTCAAACCCTCGAAGTGGGTGCGTACTACCAATGATTCTCAAACTAGGATGAAACCACTGTCCAGTACATCCTGAAAGGTTTTCAATGGTTCTTTAACTGATATCAATCCGTGGTCAAACTCGAAAACAAATCTAATCCTTACAAATCAGTTCTTTATTATTATTATTATTATTTGATCGGCAAACTCACTGTAATTGGTTAAATTTTCTATATTGTTATCTATGTAAATAAGATTAAAGTCTGAAGAAAATCTGACTGAAAACAATATTGATCCCTTATATGTCTTGTTCCAATGATAATATTTATTTTAATTGTCCCATATGAGGGTATGTACATGTTGTTCGCGTTGTATGGGAAACACGTCATAACATGATGATATTTCACTCTGGTCATAATAAAGGATTGAATATTTTTTCTCTCATCTGCTTTGCTTCATGAGAGTCTACCATATACATGATAAGTCTATGCCTTCTCTCCTATTTACTGCATTCGATGCGGCTAAAATATGCAAGGCTTCAGAGGTCAGCCTCTCTTCACGTGGATGAAAGCCTCTTTCTAGAATTTCTGCATTGTCTAAATCGATCTTGTGTCCTCTGTCTATAGGACAGCTGACCTTTCTTATAGACTCTTCTAGGCGGACATTCCGTAGACAGCCTGTGTTCATTTACTCTGACCTTCACCTGTTTACTGTTATACAGCATGCTTCACATTCTCAACACTTTATCCTATAGATAGGGTTGTTCTATGCGATTTTTGGGGACCATATCATTGACATTCACCAAAGCTTTCTTTAAAGAATTAAAGGGCTTGAAATAGCCTCTAACATCACATGAAGCAAGTATTCAACTGTATCCTTTCGATATGGAATAAACACCGTTGACACCCAAGATCTTTCAGTTTTCTGTTTTCTCCTCTCGTCCCTTTTTTGGTAATACTATTTAGAAGGTTTTCGGACAACGATTTCCATAAAAATTTGATACTGGATGTCTGGTTCTCCATATCATCATTATCTGTTATAATATTTCTAGCTCTGTTAACGAGGTTTAGAGCTATTGAAGCCTTCATTCTTATTGGATGATCTGGTTGGAAATTCAAATATTTTTTGGAATGTGTCGGTTTTCTGTATATTGTAAACTTTGGTTTCTTGTCAGTTTGTCTTTTTACAAGACAATCAAGAAAGTTTAGAATTCCCTTAGCCGGTTCTACTTCATTAGTAAACTTTATATATTTTGAGATTAAGTTAATCTGTGTTAGAAAGTTTCCTTTTTCAGCCTTCTTAATAATGATAAGTGTGTCATATACATAACTGTACCATACTCGAGAATTACAGCTACAACTTGTCAGTGCTTTTCTTTCCAGATATATCATGTAAACATTTGCTTCAACTGGAGATGCTGGTGATCCCATTACAACTCCATTTTTCTGATAGTATAGTTTGTTCTTAAAGATAAAACAAGGTAGATTCTAAGGAAAGTATGTCGAAACTCCATTATTTGAAGACAAGTCATAGGAATACAGAGATATAGTAAATAAAACTGAATAATTTTCGTGTTGGTTTAATCGATTTCAAAAGTGACCATCAAAATGACATCAAGTACTGGTTTGTAGGAGTTTGATTGGTTGGTTTGATCACGAGCTGATGGTTTTTAGAGAACCACTGGAAAACCTGGGAGTACTAGGCAGCTGTTTCGTCCTGTTTTGGGACTCTTCAACAGCACGCACCAACTGAGATCCCAGTGGCTCAATGGTATATGAGCTCGCATTGTAACCAGAAGTCCTGGGTTCGAACCCCGATGGGTGCACACTGGTGTGAAGAGTTCCAAACTAGGATGAAACAGCTGCCCAGTACTCCCAGGCTTTCCAATGGTTCCCTAACAAATGTCAGCTCGTGATGAAATCCTATAACCAAAATGACATCAGTTAGCGTGCCAGTGAAAACCACGGGGTACTGGTTAGCTATTTTGCCATTGATTGCGAATCTTCATCAGTACTCACCAATGATCATATCAGCCAGCGATTGACCCCAAGGCCTTTGGGTTAAAAGGTTAGCTCTTTGAGCATTAAGACTCTTGGGTAGCATGTCATGTCCAGCGCATCAATTCAAACTTCTACCGATTCGGGATGGACTGCACCAATGCCAACCATTCTCATGTCGGCTAGTATTTTTATCAACACCCAAGCCGATGGACCCCAGAGATCACCACTTTTCACTAGAACTGCAAGGAATTTTGTCCTGTATTCAGTCACTAGTGAGCACTAGATTGGTTTCCATGTATTGGTTTGCAGGGATTTCAGTTGGTTTCAAGATTGGTCAGTTTTACCGCAAACTAATCTCAATAGACAAAATGGGATTATAACATTATCCAATTAGGCTGGTGTGCGACCAAAATAAAATATTGTTCTGGACTATAAATAGTCTCTGCAAAACTGTTTACACCTTCATATCACTAATATCGTGTAGCATCACAGTTGACAGCTGGTTATTCTTTTTTGGCTTTTTTTTCTTTTTGAAAACTTTCTTGAGTGAAATACAGCAGTAATTAAGGTAGTCCAGTGGTACACACTTCTGACTGACTGATTTGAGTAGAGTTGGAAACAACTCACGCCAAGCAGTAGAATTTCGCTAGACAGACTGACACCATCTAGACACTGGATAACTGTTGATTCTAATCAGTAGCCACTCTAGCTACCTACGATACTGAACGTGAAATGGCTCACAAGGAAGTATAGGCGACTAAGTACCCTGGGAAAGAAACAACCAAAATCCTGTAACCCAATACAGAAGCAAATAAAAGTAGATGAATTGGACACTGGACGCAGAGAGGACGACTGCATGATATCACGCACCAGCTAGGCTATCGAGTAGAACTTGAATGGTGAAAGAGGATGAGTTGGATGTGGGCACAAGTATGAGATGGGGGAGATCATGTCAAGAGGAGGTGAAAGCCAGCGGGTAAACGAGTAGCCAGCTAAAGTAGGCTGTAGGATGGTGAATGGAAGTGTGCTGCTGAATCCTTCCTTATATTCCACTTAGAATTCAAGGGAATAATGATAATGTTGATTAGAAGAAGCCTTCATACATACGACTGAAATTCAAGGGCAATATACTTAGCGAAATTATTACGAAGAAGATATGAAAATCAGTTCAAAGAACTTTTAACGCTGGCAAACTACAATTCGTATTTCCTACACTACTGATTGTGATTCCTCAAGTGAAAGATGAAATACCTAGACTAGCCGCTTATAACTGTATCCACCAAATCAATTGCGCTTGTGGTGGAGCGATTTATATTAGCCTTTGATCTAGGAACTTGATTTTCCACGCTCGCCAGAGGACATCTACCAGTGTGGCTAAACAAAGGTGTAGCAAAAACCATCAACAGTTAGATATTAGACCAACTGATCCAAAGCGCCCACAAAGCTATTATTAAAGAGTCCTTCTCCATGGACCAAATAAATTAACAAAAACATCCAGGCATCATACACTCAAAACAGCAAAGGCTATTTCGATACTCCTGAGACAACCAATGCTCTGTGTGCCGGAGAAACGAGTCCAGCCAATATTACTCCCTTGATCTTCAGTAGAGACTATAAATTCACAAATTCGTATTATTATTTTTCCTAATTCCTCTGATATTCATTCAGTGTATTGTTGCTATGGTACTGTAATCTGCTGATATTATTACTATTATTATTATTATTGATTCGATGTTATTTAGACAACAAAAATGTCGTTAATAACACTAATTCATTTACTGTTATGTATATTTAACTGGAGAACCTGATGAAGAATAGGTTTTCGAAATGAATATTCTTTGTTCCATAACCAATTTTAATGAGCATTTTTAATCAGGAAAATTATTGATTTGTCTACATAACGGATGAATCGTTATCACATTCTGTGTTTGTTTACTTTTTCTTTTGTTTTATCTTTTCTGTGTACAGCGTGACTGTCCATCTGGTCAACTGAGCAAAAAGAAATTTATTGAAGTCTATTCTGGCTTCTTTCCAGACGGTAATGCTGAAGAATTCTGTACACATGTTTTTCGTACATTCGATAAAGACAATTCAGGAAGGATAGACTTTAAAGAATTTCTACTAGCCATCAATATCACATCTGGTGGAGATCCAGAGGAGAAATTGGAATGGGCTTATCAAATGTATGACATTGATGGCAATGGTACAATAGAACGGACAGAAATGGTTGAAATTATACGAGTGAGAAAACTGATCGCTCTGCTTTTTTTTCTATAAAATTAATTAATTGCTTTCCAAAATTGAATTATAGCAAGGAATTCTTGAAACCATTTAGCTCGCATTTTCGGTGTTGGCTTGCAGAGATCTGATTGATTGTAAGATTAGTCACGAAGTGACGTCAGTTAAAGAACCACTAAACTGCTGATTTCATCTTTCAACTTCAAGGTCCTGGGTCTGGTCGCCGGTGGCGTCATGGAGGGATCATGATGAAGAGTCCCAAAGAAGGGCGAAACAGCTGTACGATATTTCCTGGCTTTACATGTTTCTCCTAATGACTTCACTTTGTGATCAGTCCTGAAATTGATCGTATTTCAGCCTATTAACATGTTGACCTGCTACTATACGGATCAGAGACTTGGCGAGTCATAAAGAGCATCTCAAACAAACTTCAAACCTTCATTAACAGCTGTCTCCGCTCAATACTCAAGATCAGATGGCCAGAAAAGATCAGCAACAGGGATCTCTGGCAACAAGCGAACCAACCCAGCAGGAACCGATTGTGAAACAAATAGGCAGGAAGAAATGAAGGTGGATTGGCCATACGCTGAGGAAACCATCAAGTGACATCACTAGACAAGCCATTGCTCGAGTGGAACCCGAAAGGGAAGCGGCGAGTTGGTCGTCCCACAGTGGGGTGACTTGGAGGAGGTCATGCGAGGAGGAGATGAAAGCATGTGGACAGACCTGGAGCAGGGTGAAAAGTTGTCAGAAAACCGAAGGCAATGGAGGTGCACAGCTGAAGCCCTATGTTCCTCTAGTAACTAAAGGATACAATAATAATAATATAATAACAGAATAATGGTCTAGAGACAAGACTTTGCAGTATTTACAGCAGAAGTAAAGAATACTCGTCATTATGTGTTACGTGCAGATAGATAGATAAAGACTTTCCTTCACCCTTGGTATTTATATAATTCCATGACCAAATGATACTAAGCGGGGATAAATTTTGCATTAGGAAGACGCTACGAAGGTAATTTTAGATAGTTTAGTCATCCATACCATGTGTACTAAATCGTTATTTTCCACGATGTTAAAAGCCTTAAGAGGTCAACTGTCCATCGCTGCACAAACTTCTAAACTTTGCTCTGGATTTCCTTCATAAACAGCTAATTCCTAAAGTGAAGTTTAGACACTCACCTAATAATATTGACCAACTAGCTTCAGAATATAACTGATTGTTCTTAGAAGGAATTACGAAGCATTAACATTGAGTAGCCATTTGATAAATAGGCCTCATTTACGCCATTCAAAAGTTGTCCCATGCATATCGACGAATATATTGATATTCAAGTTACTATGATATAACCAATATATCCTGCTGGTATGTCACTAACCTGCTAAAACATTTTTCTGCATTGTAGGCTGGTAACAATAACCTTAACAGTATCCAGACTGTAGATGTTGAGAATTTCTTGGAATAATTTGACCGCTGAGTCAAATTCAGTCATTATAAATTACAAATAATTCTGATGAAGAAGCTGTGGTTTACACTGCGAAATGTTCAGAAATATTTCTTTATTTAGATTTTTTTCTGAAACATACTGAGATTATATTAAATAACTTGTAATAGTAACAATAAGCTCTCGACTCATCTATGTGAAGGCGGTTAATGTCTGTGACGTCAAAGCAGATCTTCAGTAGATGCATGAATCATGAATTGTACTATCTCAGTTACAGATAGGTTTAAACCATGATGGAAACAAATGTGACAAAGGGACGTTGAAGATAGACAAAGGGGTGATATGTATCCAATATATATATATATATATATATATATATATATATATATATATATATATGGTGGTCTCTCTTTCTGTTGCTCTCTTAGTCTGTGACCATTTCACTTTGGATGAACCTGTCTCCTTAACAATGTATATTCCCCTCATAGTATATATAATATGTGTGTTTGTTGACAGTCTGCTCTTAGTGATATATATATCCATATAATATGTGTGTTTGTTTGGCAGTCTGTTATATTTTGCTATGTATATATGGATCGATACTCCATTATAATTAGCCAATCATGTTAAGACTGTCTATTGATTTGTTCACACACTTGTTTGGACATTCATATATATTTTGCTCTCACACTATTGTGTGATACACATTTGATTCTCCTTGTGTTTGGAAAATAGAAGTATCATCACAAACCTAGTGGTCTTCTGATTTCCGTCTTTCTTGCGTCAGGACTATTAAATTCTCGACCAGTACATAACAATAATTTGGCGACGAGTACATAACAGGGGTATAACAGAGTCATGGCTTAAAATCATTTACTGTCAAACCTTCACAACTCTACAGATGTGCAATATAGAAAAATGAAAGAATAACGCCGAAAAAAATCAATTATTGTGTTACTGAAACAGTCTTGTGGTCTAAGTGAAATTCTGAAAGTAACAGGGAACTATATATATCCATGGTGTTCCGACTGAGACTCGAACCCTACAGAAGATTTTACTTCTACAGTAGACACAATTAAAAAATCTATATCCACTGATTAGCTGATTTTGTTGGATTTCAGGTGATTCTTGGTTAGTGGTGGACAGTATTAAAGACAGGCTGTGGTTAATGTATCTTGTTCAAATAGATGGCTTTTAATTCTGTTGTAAATGAGTATCTTTCTTACTTTACATCCTTTTTCATTATTTCACTTCCCAGACCATTTGTGATCAATCCCTTGTTCTCAGCCATTTCAAAGTGTAGAATTCTGAATTAGCATACTTTATTTACAAGTTCACCAATCTACTTCTCCACCTATCTACTTACCTGTCTTTACTATCCCAGTCTGCAATGACAATATACACTTTAAACTTTCAAAAATATTTTCAGCTAACTAATTAATAGTCTCTCAAGATCAACCATATATCGGTATCAGTTTGAGAACTATTGAAAACCAGTTTAAAGTACTGCAAATCTGTTTCACCCTAGTTTGAGGCTAATCGACAGTATGCACCCACTGCCAAAGTTCGGACCGAGGACCTTCCGGTTATAAGGTAACCTTTCAGACCATTCTACAGCCCCTGAGATACGAATCAACTTCTACTGCCGCCAAGTCCCAAAACAGAACGAAACAGCTGTTAACTACTCCCAGCTAGTTTCTAATGGTTCTCTAACTGATTTCAATCCATGGTCAAACTTGAAAAACAAATCAATTCTTGAACGCCAAATTACTAACAGATAGTTTTTCCATCTGAATAAAAGACCGAAATGGTTATGTCACCACATATGTCGGCAGCCCAGTGGTTATGACTCTCGCCGACCATGAATATGGTCCGGAGTTAGATCTCCTACCGACACACACCTGGTATCAATGGTCGGCCTGCAAAATTTGGGCTACCGATATCACATGCTGAAAATTCCTTACATCTACTAAAGAAAAGGTACTGTGTGGAATCAAGCGGCATTGTAACAGCACAGTTCATTGCAGTATTCACCTGATGACACAAGTAATATGCATTATATAGGTATCTGAGATTAAACTGTGAGTTGGAAAAACATTTTTATGGGACTATTGATGAGCTCTTTCTAGTTTGCGACTATAAATGTTTATTTTATAGTCAAATCTAGGCTTCACATATGAAAGTTAGACAATACTGAATTGCAATTTTCATGATTTTGTGTTATAACAGGCAACCAGTTGCATCAATAACGCTTCGTTATTTTACCTGTTTTCCTAGTGGTTCTTATTTAAACAGAAGGGAATTCAGGGGGTGGGTATCGTCTATCACCATTCCATAGGATTTTCTGATAGATAATTTAAAAAAAGGAAGTCTTACCATTTTATGTTAGATGTTGCTTTTATGATAAACACACTTGGATTAGGCTTTCCGATGAATCCATCTGTACACTAGTTGTGTGATTAGTTAACTTCACAAAACAGTGAGTGAGAAAGAAGGTTAGATGCTGGAGACTATGGAAACAGGAAACTGATACACCAGTGACACACATATATGTGTACACATATGCATGAATGATGAACTTGGATTTGATTGACGTTTCCACTGAATAACTAACAGTTCACGATTCACTGACTGATTGACTGATTGATTGATTGGTTTGCTGTTGCGTATAAAAGTTAATAACCCCTGGTATCAATGATTTACTTTCAACAGGAAACATGGTAGACTTACTTATTTCTCTTGTATGTTATTTATAAAGGAGCCGAAAACTGGATTGTTGCACACCTAGTTTCAGGGTGTGCGTGTGTGTGTGTGTGTGTAGCGACAAGGGGGAATGTGGGAGACATTGATGTCTTCAACAATTGTGTTGGTGGTGATTATTGCTAGTATTTGAGTCATATGAACTGCTTATATGGGTGGTTGATTGGTCGGAGGTGTACTTTTTGAAAATTGCTTTACATTCAAATTATGTTACTTCTGTAATGCTGACTAGTTTATCTGTTTGTTGCCTAGGTAATGAAATTCTGAGGGATGTAGGGGGAAAAAATCTAAAAGATAATCAGAAACGCGATTTTAATCTATTTATTAGTTTTTCTGCTTGATTTAAGATTAAATCGGGCGTATGTATATAAGAATATGATTATATATTTACAAGTATGTTGAATTTCTGAAATCTTTTGAATATACTGCTGGTGGTGTTCGTGAAGAGAGACTAATGCTGATTACATACGAGATATTAAAGAAAAATCATTGCAACTAAAACTTAGGAATGAAACATCTTGGCTATTAGTGTGAGCAGTAGTCGTCTCATGGTAAAATGCTCACCAGTTATGCGCGTAGTCCGTGTGTTGGTGAGCCTAACATAGGCGGTAGTAAGGCTGGAAAAGAGGTGTGATGCTAGCAACGTCATCTCACAAAACTACACTACAGCAAGTGAAACTTCGAAGTCTGAAGCCACACGACTTACTCCTGACTCTAAGAACAGAAAAAGTGGCGACATGGGCATCATTATATGTCATATTTCTTGTTTCATTCATTGTTTATAGTGCCTATATATATATATGTAGAGTCGTTAGGATTAAGCTTTGAAGATGAATACAAGCCAAGACAATTGGGATTCACTTCAGTAGGCGAGATTAGTGTGCTCGAAATGAATTCGTACAGTACTTTCCGTCCCCAGGGATGCGTTGAATGTTACAAGTGACATTCACTCCTATCCTTCTAACTGTTTATTAACATGTTTACCATTATTATTACACTATTTGTATTATCCTTATCATTCTTAGTACTATTTAAACTAATTCGTTCGACCTCTTGTTAGTTAAGTTTTCTTACATGATTAAAAGAAATTCGTTCACCCTTTCTTTCTTAATTGTAATTAGCTATCAAACTGCTGATGATATAATTTCCGGTTTCAAGCATCTAATGTGTAACTGCGTGAGTGTATTAGATGACCTTGCCAATTAACCGTCACTCTGATCTCCGTAGTATTTTTTGCCTCTCCTGTCCTGAAAATTCGGATTGAACCTGTAGCCGCAGAATTCCAACAGTTGGACTACGAGATTCAACTGCTGACCAGTTCAGTTCATCACTCCACTGGAATCGCCACCACGCACAATACTCAGCTGTTATATGAATGAGTGATACACTGCTGTCTGTTTATTATCATATTACTCTGTCCAGCTAGGTGTTCTCCCATCAATCCCAATCGAAATCAATTAGGCAGAGAGGAGTAGATTTTTAACAGGTGGTGGGTTTACCTGAAATAACTCTGAGTTAGTAGACTGTAACTGATTGGTGATGATCGAGGGTGGAATGTTAAATATGGATCGCAGCAGGACTTCAATGGACTCATACAGATTTTGTCATGTCATAAAGAGATAAACGCAAATGACAACGCTTATTAATTTTTGTAATAAATAGCTAGAAAGCTAATATCGCATTATTTGGTTGATGGTGTCTAGCAGTGGGAGCCAAGATGCGCATTTCGTCCCATCTTGGACTCGTCAACCTGGGGTATCTGCAGTCCCCAGCTAGTGATGGCGTTTCCCACTACGACGGAAACCGTGTACTCAACGTTTCGAACACTAAAGCGTTATTCTGAACATTGCCGTCTGATCATTCAACTGGGAAATTGACTTAAACAAATGATGACTGTTGCATAAAAAGTGGCTGTCGTGGCTCAAGTGGTCTAGTGAATAACGCTTTGGCGTTTGAAACTATGGGCACTACGTTTGAAACTCACTGGGAACGCCATCACTCAGTGGGTAGTGCACATACATTCAGATAACGAGTCTCAAACAGGGCGAGATGCATGTCCTGGATTTCACTGCTAGTTTCCATCCACCAATTGTCTTCATATTAGCTAAGCAATTGAGCCTTCCTCATGAGATTCGTTGATTCTGAATTCGATTTGACATGCAATCATGACTGCCTGTTACTGAAGAATCTCAGACCAGGACAAAACATTTACCTCTAGTGTTTTTTTCCTTTAATGACTATCTACAATGAAATGACTACGTGTTAGATAAAAATAGCTCAAAATCCGTAAGTTGTCAACAACTTCCTAAAGTGAATAACAAATAGTCCATTACTCATTTTTGACTTGCTTTCAGGTGGATTTCCTGAAGTTCTGGTAAGACATGATGATTGACGAAGTCAGTCAGTTACTCATCAGTTAACTTTTAAATTCATTTCAACCTTCCGTTGTTAACACCACCATCAACAACAACAACAACAACAACAACACCACCATCACCATGACAACCACTACTGTCTGTCTGTCTGTCTGTTTTCGACATAGAACTTTGCACAAATGTGCGGAAGTTCAAGTTGCCACACTCCGTGTAGCACGCGAAGCAAGAGAAGAAAGTACAAGAAAAGCACAATAGAAACAGTGAGCAGAGGGGTGAGACAAAGGAGGAGTAATAACGAAGAACAAAACAGTTTCATTGGAGATCATAAGTTACAAGGAGTGGATGCATCTGCGCCACTGAGAACGATTTTGAGCCATGTCACCAATTGTTTCCAACCATAGATTTTTACCGTCCCGAGGACCCCAGCCTGGAAGTCTACACCTTCCTACGTGACTTAGACCAACTGTTGTGTATTTCATTGACTGGTGCCAAGTTTTTGTTTGACCTCTGCTAGGTTTTTTCCAACCTGACCCTATATCAGCTAACATTGCTCGTCGAGGGAGGCGATGACTTAGCATACGTAACACATGTCCTAACCATTTCAGTCTTTGTAACTTCACGACTTCGTCGATTTATTTCCCCTGTTTACCTAGAACTCGACGCCTAACCTCAATGTTGCTCACCTTATTATGCCACTTTACACGGGAAATAGAACGCAGGCACCTATGATCAAAGACAGTTAGTCTTTTCATGTCTTTCACTCTCAGTGGCCAGGTCTCACAACCATAAAGGAGGACGGAGCGGACTGATGAGCAGTACACCCGCCCTTTGGTCGATAGTCGAACATCTCGTCTACGCCAGAGTCGGCGTTAACTGACAAATGCGAAACGAGCCCCCTGTATCCGTGCTGAGATTTCATCAGAGATCAACCCGTTGGGGCTGATGGTACTTCCCAAATAAGTGAAGCGGTCAACGTGCTCTACCACTTCATTTCCTATTTTTAAACCAGGCGTCGATGTAGTCCAGTCCTGTAACATCATCTTGCATTTGGAGGGAGCGAATCGCATGCGAAACATCCGTAGATTGCAACTCAAGGTGTTTAGAAGACTCTGCATTTCGTCAGCGTCTTCGCCTAGAAGGACTATATCGTCTGCATATTCCAAGTCAACGAGATTATTCCCTGGTAGCAAGTCAATCCCTGAGTCGCTGAAGTCACTTAGGGTTAAGTCCATTAACACATCTATGATGAAGTTGAATAGAAAAGGGGATAATGGGCATCCTTGACGGACACCGCTAGTCGTCACCAGTTCAGATGACAGCTCTCCGTAAGCCCTCACCTGGCTGTATGAGTACGAGTAGATTGCCTTAATCAGTGCAATATATTTTCTCGGGATTCCCTTTACAGCCAAGCATCTCCAGAGAACTTCTCGATCGACAGAGTCGAATGCTGCCTTTAGGTCAAGAAATATAATGACTGTTGGACGCCGGTAGGAATGCTTATGTTCTAGAATCTATCGGAGGGTGAAGATATGACAACCACTACGATCGACACCAACACCACCATCACAATCATTATCAGCAATATCACTTAGTAATAACACGTTGCCTTCTTAGTAAATTTTTAGCATTACTTGGTACTTTAACATTTACATATATATGTAATCACTTAATAATTGTCCTTATAGAAAGAACTGAGGATATCAATAGTATGTCTACAGTTTTGGTAAGTGATCATTACTAGATGTCTTATTTAATATTTAAGCTTTTTTTCATTATGCTTTCTTTGGTCTGTGCATGAAACATATTTCGTGACTAGAAAACTCATGAATGAATGCTATTCACCTACTATGAAGATTTATATTAATTAACTCTTTATTATTTCATTTCTCCAATTGTCTACTCCACAGATTCAAACATATTGAAAAGTTGTGATTTATCTGAATAGTGAAATGAATTTGCCTAACACAACGAACAATCTGATCACACATGCACTTGTCACTGGGATTTATATAAAAATGACAAACCGATAAAGGAATGAGAGAATAGACATAAATCAAGTTAAATGGCTATATTGGAGGTCAAAATGACAATGGACATTAATAGTCCAGAGAAAGGGTATAATAGTACAATTTACCCTGGAATCGGAAATAAAGTTTACCAAAGAAGGTTTAGTGTAACGACAAACTGTTTATTTTTGTGCACACTAAGTTGGGTTGAACTTCCCGACAGCTAGGGCTTTCACAATCTTTACCAATACACTTCCAACACTTTTTCTAGATAGACTTAAAGGTAATTTAAGCATCAATTTTATTCCATTTATCAATAATATGTATCTCAATTGATGAGCTACGTTGTCTGTTTTCATCATCAATGGGTTTAGAGGATCCAATTCGCTTGTGAACAACTTTTAGATGACCCAAGAGAAAAAATGTATCGTCAGCATAGGCATTCCTTGGCAAACTTTGTTTTGACAACAGGAGAGATTGACTATTATCTCCCATCATCGGTTTGTTGATCTGCATTATTTTTACTTTGACCTGTATCTATTCTCTCACCCTTTATTACTATTACTATAACTTTATTTCTTTGCGTTTCCAGTGGACCATAGAGCTTCTAGCTAGAGCTTTGAAGCTACACTAGCGGTGATGTTTTCTTCATACAGGAAGGGGTTGCTAGGCTCATGCCCAACTTTCTCTCTTTGTCAGGTTTACAACAGGCTAGGCAGAGAGGTTTAGGAGTGAGTCGGCTGCGAGTGGATCGAACTCCGGGCCATTTGCTTGGTTGGTGAGTGTTCTACGACTGAACCACCGACACCCCTCAAACCCTTTAACGCACGTGATCAGATTGTTCGATATGCAGTGTTAGAATGCATGACATGTTTCAGATAAATTGCTTCTTATTGTTTCATCGAAGAGAAGTTGTTTTAAATGATTCTGTCTCTTCCTATTTTCATACATTTGCATACTTTTTGGTGTTTTATTTTACCCTTAGGCTATTTATTCAATGCTTGGCACAGACAATACAGCTGTAGACATAAGCCCTGAGGCTAGAGCTGAAGAAATTTTCGAGAAAATGGATGAAAACGGCGATGGTGTGTTAACACGTGAAGAATTTATGAAAGGTTGCATGGAAGACAGTCAACTTAAGGCTATGCTATTGGCAGATGATCCAGTTGAATAAAAGGCGAAAACACAAATTGTTCAATTCCATTTTTCCTATTCACCATTGAATAACACCAATTTAATTCACTTATCTTCATACATTTAGAACAAAAACCAAAACATGTACCATGCTGATGTGTCCACATCCTGTTCTAATTCCCTCCTTCACTTCTAGGGTTGAATAATAAAAAGAGGTTGACATTTTTTCTGAAACATTCTCTAAAGTCCAAATGCATCTGGCTTTTGCAATTAACAAAAATGGCATCCTTTGACTAAAAAGAAAACCAACTGTTGAGTAGTACAATGACTGAAAAATGCAAACATTTTCGAGTGTTAATCAGACCATGATTATATATATATATATATATATATATATATATATATATCATGTAATATTCTCACTTATTTTTCATTTTTGCCTAATCATGTTTATTTCCTTTTTACATCATACATGTTAACTCTTTATAAAAATTTTTATTTTAATCTCTAAGTGTGTATGCGTTTCATAATCTGAAGTGCTCTCATTCGTTATGCTACGTAATTTCTGAAGAGGAACATTCTTCTGCCAATTCCTACTGACCTCATTCTCTTCATATCATCTACTATCACTAATTTTTAATATTATCATTATTGTCATCATCATCATCATCGTCGTCGTCAACAGCAACAACGGCAGCAGTAGTAGCAGAAGAAGAGGTTTCCATTCGACAAGTTATATATATATATATATATATATATATATATATATATATATATATATATATATATATATGATTCAACCAATCAATCAATCAATCCACTAACCAACTGTCTATTTTTTATTGATCAATCCACATTTATCTGCCTGTCTGTCTGTCTATCTATCCTTTTGGCCTTTTATTTGTCTGCTTAATTGGTACACAGAATTTAAGGCTTTACAGTTTCCTCATATATGTTCATAAAAAATTTGTTTTGTTTTTGAAATACTTTACCGAATTATGAAGAATTTATATCGATGATAAATTATTTATTTAAAAAAAACAAAGCAGGAAAAAAATCCTTCTTTTTCCTCTTCTCATACAATTATTATTATTACTATTATTATTATTATTATTATTATTATTATTATTATTATTATTATAACATAAAATAATCCCAAAATTATTCATATGTATTTTTTAATGATACTCATTACCAATCTTGATTATTATAATGTGCTTGTCATTAAACGCTTGTAAATATTTTTAATACTTTCCAGCTTTTGATTATATACACACTACACACACTCACACACACATATTGTGCTTAGTATTAATTATGTGGAAAGGAGTAGAATGAAGGCTATGCAACATAAAGCATCTGTTTGTTCATCCAGGAAGAGAAGGAGGGAAAAACACGTAATCGTATATAACGACATAAACCATGTAATATATATTCTCGTTGCTAATTATCAGTAATAATAAAAATAACAGTAAAAGTAACAATTATTCAAATATTGTCTTATTCTGTTAAATGCGGAATGGTAACTATTAGCAGAATCTAGCTCAAGGTGCGTATTTTGTCCTGTTTGGGACTGGTCATCAGTTGGGTGTATCTGCAATCCCCAATCAATGATGAATGCTGTTCTTAATGAAATTCAAACCCAGCAACCATCGTTTCGATCGGTAAAGCATTACCTACTAGACTTAATTGATCACGAGACTCACCTTTTGTTCAACGGTTACCAGTCATTATTTGTTCAATTATTATTATATCCTTTAATTCCTAGAGGAACATAGGGCTTCAGCTGCGCATCTCCATTGCCTTCGGTTTTCTGTCAACTTTTTCGCCCCGCTCCAAGTCTGCCCACATGCTTTCATCTCCTCTTCACATGACCTCCTCCAAGTCACCCCACTGTGGGACGACCAACTCGCCGCTTCCCTTTCGGGTTCCACTCGAGCAATGGCTTGTCTAGTGATGTCACTTGATGGTTTCCTCAGCGTATGGCCAATCCACCTTCATTTCTTCCTGCCTATTTGTTTCACAATCGGTTCCTGCTGGGTTGGTTCGCTTGTTGCCAGAGATCCCTGTTGCTGATCTTTTCTGGCCATCTGATCTTGAGTATTGAGCGGAGACAGCTGTTAATGAAGGTTTGAAGTTTGTTTGAGATGCTCTTTATGACTCGCCAAGTCTCTGATCCGTATAGTAGCACTGACTGACTTTACATTGCAGTTGAAAATCTGGATCTTATTTTTGATGCTGGGTGCTGTTGACCTCCACACAGACTTTTGTATTTTCTCGTTGACTTATTAGACAGGAATGTCCATTTTATGTCCATCTATGTTGACTCCTAGTACGGAAAATAGGAAATTTCATTAACTGATTGACTCTAACAAAAACAACAGGCGTTTTTGAATGAAATTAATATACGTTCGACTGAACAGGGTAATTCTCTTGCTATTGCTTAGATTTTCAAACAGACTGAGGATTTTTTATTAACATTATCAACGCATTCATGCATTACTTTCTTCATTATGTAAGTTTGCATTGCAGTCTCTAACTGATAATTTCATTCTATGACAGAAAAAGACAATTATTTGTTTTTCCCGTTGATACGGATTATTCAATGATGTCTGAAGACAAACGCGATGTTATCTTGGTTGACGGTGATTAGCAGTAGAATCCAAGATGGTACATCTTGGTACTTCCGTCCCAATTCTTTTGTTACAGTCAATCAAAAAGATGTCATCAGATTTCCAAAAGTTCACTTCAACTTTTCGAATTTTTCTTATGTTCACTATAAATTTCAGAGAAGAAAATATCCCATAGTGATTGGCAATGAGTCGTACAATCATATAAATTCCCCTGTATATTAATTAGCACAAAATATAGACTCTGTGATTATTTGATATTTGTTTTTTGTTTAATTTGTGTTATAAAGGAGTACATCCAGACAATATGTCCCAAATAGGACGAAATGCGCATCCGGGATTCCACTGATAGTCACCATCCACCATTTGGCATTTTGTTTCCTGGAATTTGAAAGGCTGAAAATTTCTTTTATGAAAAATCGATGGGTGGAATTGTTATGACCGGAACTACGACCTAGTTGACTGCCAGCGAATACTAAATTAATGCGCTGGCTAATCTGTCCTAATCGCAAGTCAACAACGACTAAAACAGTAACACTGCATTAGAGCAAACACCAAAGAAAAGACTGGATGTCAACAAGAAAGCTTTTACTGTATCAAACAACAGTCAAAAGGTTAGCAGAAACTGTGTATATGCACAGTAAGAATGACCTTTAAAATGCAATAATTCAGTGATGCATTAAAAGTATTAACAGTCTGCAAGAATCTGGCGATTCAAACAGAGGGAAAAACCAAGGGCTCATGCCAGTGCGCGATAAGTGCTTAAAATAGTTATTTACAGTTTTCGATAAAACTAGGCAAAATTAGGTGCATATAACAGGAATAAAGTGTTTATTTTTGTCATGCATTTGTAATGGTAGAAGATGAGAGACTTGATAAGGGAATGACTGTCTGGAATTTGGTACAGCTATAGAGAGAAATTATGCACACCATATCTACAACGCGCCATTTGCTCAGATCTTCTGTGTTGTGCGACTTCTGCCATTCCTTCGTATTGTGTTTCTTTGTGTTCCTTTCACGTCTCCCTCGTATCTCTGCAACGCTGAATCATTTACTTTCGCTGACATTAAATTTGTCTGTCAGCTATCTGATATTTTTACCCTAATAAACGTTTCTTTATATACTACTGATGAAATTTATCAGTAGCACACGCCACACATTTACAAAAATCCTGATATCGGTGTTGAATTACGCGATTAGTGAATCGAGTGTTAAGAAAAGAAACAAAGTCAGCACATCAAAAAAGGTTAATCGGTAAGTGTTTATCAAGCGTTTAACACGGTTAGTTATACGGACCAAAAGGGTGTTCAACTAAGGATGAATTCAGCTTTCATTTTTTACAGTTTGTCTGGATTAAATAAGCCTGAATGATTATTACTCATCCTACTAGTACCCGATTAGATTGCCGTGTTCAGTCTAGGTATACGAGAAGTTGACTGAATGACTGACTGAATAGGATTCAAGTGATGTTGAGAATTATCAATCTGAGTGGAACCCAAAAAGGCATTAATGGGTTGGTCAAGAGTTTGAGGGTGATATGAAGTAGATTACGTGTGCAGAGGAAATGAAAGCTTGTGAACAATCATGCAGCCACCAGAAACGGATGAAAGAGAACTGAGTATAAAAGGGGACGCGCCACTGAGGCTCTGTTTTCCATCTGAAATACAAGGAACGAATAGTAATCACAGTAACATTAAAGCTGCATGAGAAAGCTACACATCTGGTCAAATTTTACAGCATAATTGTAAAGGAATAATTGTTTCGAAAATCCCTTCTGAACGATCTAATTACAATATTGATACCTACTTGGATGTTTCAACTAACTTTGCAATCCACTGCCTGTTTGCTTCTAGGCTATGTATCTTTACCTTAAGGTTTGCAGATCATCTGTCGACTAATTATTATTATTCCCTTGGGTTCCGAGTGAAACATACGGCTTCAACAACACATCTTCGCCACATGATCTTCTCCGTGTCACCTTCGCACCGACGATTCACTCGTTGCTCCCCGTTTGGATTCCATTGGAGCTATAGCCTGCATTGCACACGATGTCATTCGATGGCTTCCACAAAACGTATGTCCGACCCGTCTCCATAATCTCCTAAATATTTGTTGAGCAATCGGCTCTTTGTTAGTTTGTTGCCAGAGTTTCCTGTTACTTATTCTTTCTGGCTGTATCATTTACAGTATGCAGCAAGAGAAGTGGACAGCTGCTGATAAAAGTCTGTAACATGTTCGTGATACGCAAGCCATGTTTCTGATCCGTATAGAAGAACTGACATCATTATGGCCAGTCACCACCTCAGTGTCGTCTGAGTGACCGGGATAGATTACTAACTTCCCAGTTGTCAATTTTAACAATCCTGATCCATTCCATCTGCTCTCGCAGACACCCAACATTTCTGTGCCA